AGCTGGCCTGGAACTCACTATAGAGACCAGGCTGGCCATGAACTCACAGAGATCCATCTGCCTCTGCCTCCCAAGTGCTGGGATTAAAGGTGTGTGCCACCATGCTGGGCAAAACATCCATTTTTAAAAGATAATTATTCAAGTGTAGCTCTGTGGTAGAGCTGTTGCCCAGCATGCACTAGCTTAAATTCAATCCCCATCATCTTAAAATAAAGTAAAATAAAACAAAATAAAAAGCCTAAATCTCATAATTTTCAGAAACACAATGTTAAAAGTTTGACTCTTCCTTTCTGTTTATTTTGGCTACAGCTCTGTGCCTTTGGTAGGTCCAATCCAGAGAGCAGAAATAATGAGTTTTATTGTGCTACTCTGGTGTAAAATAAGAACATCTGATGTGCACTGAGAGCTTCCAGTGTGCCTAATTAGAGCAAGCCCTTAGTCTTCCTCGGATCTCTAAGGGATGTTTGTTTGTTTGTTTGTTTGTTTGTTTGTTTGTTTGTAGATAAGGAAGGGGAGGGCTTTGTGTGCTTTGTTGAGTCTCCCAGTAGCTCAGGAAGGGCTGCAGTGTGGTAGGAGGCAGTGTCAGGGAGAATGACCCTCTTCGCGTCTCCTCTTTTCTGCCAATGCTGGTTTATCCAGATACAATAGATCATTCCCACACGAATGAAAAAGGTTGTGTTGTATTTTCTTCTCTGGTTTGAGCCATTTGGAATAAATTCTCAAAAGGAACAAATCATTACTATTGCTTTCATTAGTTTAGCTCCATTTTTTCATCTCTAGTGAAGGTTGGCCCATTGCACATACTTCTTACTGTGCTGCATCTCCTCTCTGTAAGAGTGTGTTAGATTACAACACATTTCTTTTCCAGAGTGAAACAGTTTATTCTTTAAACTTAATTGCAAAATATTGTTTGAGAGTCTCTTACCAGCAGTAAGGAATAAGAAGTGGGAGTCCTCTGGAGTGAGCCACAGGCTTCACATTTCTGCTGTTTGTATAGTTTTTTTTCTGGAATCATTTAATTGGGATCACGAAATTAAAAGTCAGTGCAAACTTCTTTACTCTTGAGATTTTTTGGGGGGCTGCTTTTTGAGACAGGGTCTCCCTGTAGCTCCAACTGTCCTGGAACTCACTATGTAGGCCAGGCT